TCAAATACCCTGTAGGCTGCGATAGCAGCTTGTCTCCAGGAAACATAATTTTCTTGTTTCCCGTCGAATTCTGGGACGGACTTGATAATGTCCAGGGGCTCATTACATTGTTTTTCAGGTTCTATTTGAATCTCTTGGAATGTTTGAATTTTCGGAGTTTTTCTTAGTAAATTTAGCTCCCCCATAATTGCGGCTAATTTTTCGTCAAATTGCGCCTGCTGTGTTTGAAGTGCCTGATTTATTGCGGCCTCCATATTTGCTAATTGTTCTGGCTGCATTTCTGCTTGTCTGTGCTGTCTACTAGTTTCAAGATTTTCTATATCGAAGGCACTCTTCCGGATAAGTACCTTGCCTGTGTTCCCACTGGTCGACGCGTGGCTACCCTCTTCGTTAAAATCCTGATTTTCTTTCGTTGTATGCTTTTTTATTTTGGTTTCTAAGAGCTTCCTATACTCTTCTAAAATGTCCTCGTCTGTATCAGACATGTGTTAATATTGGTAAAAATATATGGTCATCATAAAAATTGATCAAGAGTTGTTATATTATTGATTAAATTAGCGGGGAGAAATAATATCAAATATCATTAAAAACGTTGTTTAAGAAATATAAAGTTTTATTTACTATTCATAAATGTTTTTAAGTTCTAAAATATTATCTTGTGTATTTTTTATATTATTTCTTTCGGTGAATTTATCGATTTGTGGCTTCTTCCAAAAAAAATTTACAAAAACTTTGGTTTTAAAATATTTCATATTTGGTAAAAATTTGAACCAATTCTCCCGGTGTATTTTTTGAAATACGAGACGACACGGTAAGTGCTATTTAAGTTCAATCGTTGTATTTTACAGATTTAGCGAACGGTTTTTATATTTGGGTTTTTATTTTAATATAATAATTCGGACAAATAGCCTACTTACGTTTTCTTAAATATTCTTATAATTGTTGCTGGATTCTGCTGCTGTTGCTGTAGATCCCACGGATGGGGCGAGGGGTTTCTACAGCTCCTTTTGCTCAATTATTCCCGCGGAGGGCGAGGGTTTTACAGCTCCCTGTTGCTCAGTTACTCCCACGGAGGGGGCGAGGGGTTCCTACAACTCCCTTTGCTCAATATTAAATTTCTTTTTTATATTATTGATTAAATTAGCGGGGAGAAATAATATCAAATATCATTAAAAACGTTGTTTAAGAAATATAAAGTTTTATTTATTATTCATAAATGTTTTTAAGTTCTAAAATATTATCTTGTGTATTTTTTATATTATTTCTTTCGGTGAATTTATCGATTTTGGCTTCTTCCAAAAAAAAATTTACACAAAAACTTTGGTTTTAAAATATTTCATATTTGGTAAAAATTTGAACCAATTCTCCCGGTGTATTTTTTGAAATACGAGACGACACGGTAAGTGTTATTTAAGTTCAATCGTTTTATTTCTCACAGATTTAGCGAACGGTTTTATATTTGAGTTTTTATTTAATATAATAATTCGGACAAATAGCCTACTTACATTTTCTTAAATATTCTTATAATTGTTGCTGGATTCTGCTGCTGTTGCTGTAGATCCCACGGATGGGGCAAGGGGTTTCCCTAGCTCCCTTTTGCTCAATTATTCCCGCGGAGGGGTTTCTAGGGTTCTGTTGCCCAGTTGTTACTCCCACGGAGGGGCGGGGGTTTCCTTACAACTCCTTTTGCTCAATATTATTCCCGCGGAGGGGGCGAGGTTTGTTTCCCAGCTCCCTTTCGTTCCTCTCTTGGTTATAAACTTGCAAATATTTTGTTTTCTCGCCAAACTTTGTTGCGCGTTCTGTTTTATTTGCGTTCACATAAACACTTGCACTTTTGTAATATTCGTTCCACTTTTTGGAATTTGATTTAATTTTATTGGGTTCTAGATTTTCAATTGATTCCACTTTTTCCTTTTTTTTTTAATTTAATTTTGGTGGATTTTTGAAAATTATTCCTGTTGGGCGCCAGTTATTTAATTGTGTTTATTTATTTAGATACCAAGGTATTTCTTTATTTCACTTAAGCCTTTTCAAGCCAAAGATATTTTAATTCATACAATGGATTGTTAATTATAATATTGATCGCCAGCTATAGCTGCGGAGTTCAGTTTTAAACTAACTTGAAGGTCTGTCCCGGTCGCACCATGAAGCCCTTATTTGCGCTGCAGCGCAGCCGCCTAAGTGCGATGTCAGCATTCCGTATCCAGCTAGCGACAATCACTCGCTGCAGGCGTGTTGGGACCGAGCCTCGGGCAACTGCCCCGGGAATGCGCGATCAGCAGTTTCGCCCTTGCGCGTGTTGGCCGTCGGATCCGGTTTGCAATTTGGCCATTTTTCCAAATTCTTTTTGCGCGTGTTAACTTATATATATACACTAGTCTGAGAACGGTAACGCATCCCTAAACCCTTACAGTCCATAGTGCAGTAGGGAAGGCGTCAATTCCATACTTTGTCAGCCATTCAGCGTCAAATTGCTGAACCCAGACGCCGACGAGCTTATAGCTAGTCTTAGCTTAGAGAGCATAAAAAAGGCTGGCAAAAAACGGAATACAATTCAAGACAGAAGAGCAGAGCAGCAAAGACCTAGCGCACCAGATTACGCAACGATCGCAAAGCAAGTGAAAGACTGGTCTTTCAAATTCAATGGCACCGAGAGGCCACTGGAATTTTTGGAGCAAGTGGAATGGTCCGAAAACACGTATGGCCTAAACCTAAATATTATACCATGTGCAATGCCAGAATTACTGGAGGGCAAAGCTCTAATAATGCCACTATCGAAGTGTAATAAAAGAAATTTTTTTCGCAAGACCGACTTTCTGAGGCTTAATAATTCTATGAATGCACAACATTTAAAGAATATTGTTTTAATTGTTTTATTTTGTATTAATCCGAGTAAAACTTCCGAAGTTATGGGTAGTTAAAAGTAGGTAAGTTTTTTTAATTTTTGGGTAACCAAAACTTTAAAGCACTCATCTGAAAAGTTGCCATTTTCCAAGTCGGTGTACACGATCCTGCAAAAACTTACTGGACGAATCGTTTTGAAATTGTAGTACAGTACTTCTTTACTAAATTCGTCTGGTATCTCTGTCGAGGTAACAGCGTTACCTGGAGTAATTGGTCCTTTAAAAAAATACATTTTTTCAATTCTGGTGATTCTGTGATTAGTTACGATGTACACCACAAACCACTTTTTTTCGAGATGCCCCTGGAGACTGCATATCTCACTCACTTTTCCATATTTTTGTAGCCTTGCAGAGGGTATTATAATTTTGGTCAAAAGTTTGCAACGCAGTGAAGGAGGCATTTCCGACCCTATAAAGAATATATATTCTTGAACAGGATCGCCTCCTGAGTTGATATAAGCATGTCCGTCTGTCTGTTTCTGCGGGAACTAGTCCCTCAGTTTTAAAAATATCGAGTTAAAACTTTGCACACACCCTTCGTTCCTTTGCACGCAAGTCGGAACGGCCAGGATCAGCCGACAATATCCTATAGCCGCCATATAACTGATTAATCGGAAATGCCATAGCTTTGGTGTTTGTAAAGTTAGGAAGTTGGGATTTTCAATGGGTTTTATTTTTGGTTTTTTCTGATGAGCCAGTAATGAGTTATGCTGTTCACCGCAAAACCTTTTTTCTTGGAGGCGCCTACGGAGCTTTGCTGTGAACGGCTCATTTATATTGTTTTTGCTTATGAAAATTTGTGAAAACGTAGTTTAAATGTTGTACTTTAAATGGTTATCGCGTAAAAAATTCGTGAAAATAGGCCTTTTTTGGCGGAATTAACCATAAATAAATTTGTTTATTTTTAGTCAACTGTATTTATACCCGTTACTCGTAGAGTAAAAGGGTATATTGTATTCGTGCAAAAGTATGTAACAGCTAGAAGGAAGCGTTTCCGACCCTATAAAGTATATATATTCTTGATCAGGGTCACTAGCCGAGTCGATATAGCCATGTCCGTCTGTCCGTCTGTCCGTCCGTATGAACGCTGAGATCTCGGAAACTATAAAAGCTAGAAGATTGGCATTTTGCATGCAGATTCTAGGAGTTCCTACGCAGCGCAAGTTTGTTTCAAAAAGGTGCCACGCCCCCTTTAACGCCCACAATCGCTTATATACGATTTTAAAAAGTTTAATATTTCGGAAAAGTAAAAATGCAGTTTTATTGTGTTTATCAATACCTATCGAAATGTAGAAGAAATTTTTCAAATCGGACCATTCGTTAAAAAGTTATGCGTGATCAAAGTTTCTATCTCCATCTCTCTCGCACTCCCTTTACCTGAGTAACGGGTATCTGATAGTCGGGGCACCCGACTATAGCGTTCTCTCTTGTTTTAAAGTATAAAAACCATCTGTAAATATGGAAGTGAATGCTTATATGTTGAAAAATAACGAATTTATGTCAAGATTTGTAAAATTTCGAATCTTTTCTTTAGGAGCGGGTCGTCAGATTTTTATAAAAATTAGATTTTTGGGAATGTAAAAAATGGTTATATTTTAGAGTATATCATTAAATATTTAAGAAACATGAACTTACAAATATTTGTTCCTATTTTTATTTTAAAAAAATTTCTCAAAATATTGAAAATACATAAGAATTGTATAAACTATTTTAAATTGAAACCTTTCTTACGGAAACAGTCGAAAAAATTAATGAAAGAAAGAATAAAAATACGTTTTTCGTTGTCATGTAAACTTTTATTTGAGACTCATTTTGTTTTTCCAATATCTACGGTGGATTAAACAGATTAAAATCTACATTAATTCTACTTTTAACGAGCTCTAGTACGTGTACTATTGATCTTATCAACCTGAACCGCAAAATGAGAGAGCGATTTCTGGTCTTTAAAATTAAATGTATGTTAGCTACATCAGTACAATAGATATATAATGGAATACCTAAAGACAGCCGAAACATTATTTTGAAAACTTAAACATAATACACATCCCAAATAAAATTTGATAAAAGTACTACGACATTTTTTTTTCATTTCAGAAGAAATTTTTGAAACGCCTGAGGCCATTTGGTCGTCTTCGGATGGTACGCATTTCATGTTCGCCGTATTTAACGATACAAATGTTGGAATGATGACGTATCCATGGCTGTCGTCTGGAGCTTTATTTTCTGGAAATAACATATATCCTGAAAACTTTTTTCCAGAAACCAAAAATGTAAGATATCCCACTCCGGGCACTGCCAACCCAAAAGTACAGTTGTGGGCTGTAGACATAACTAATTTAAGCGCTATCCAAAAATTTCAAATAGAACCTCCTGCTTCTCTTGATGGACAGTAAGAACTATCATTATCTAAGCTTTTATATGTTATTATAAGTGAAAATTTCGTTCATTTATGTTTTAGAGACTATTACCTCACATCAGCAGGTTGGATATCTGACACCAACCGCCAAATATCGGTAGTTTATATGGGAAGATCTCAAAATTATAGCGTGGTCTCCATGTGTTCTAAATTGCAAAGCTGGAAATGCTCAGAAGTAAGTTATATTTTATTAAAATTTGAAGATGAACAAGATTATGTTATATTCCAGATTCATTCTGAACGTGCCCCAGAAGATGAATGGTTGGATATTTTCCCTCACCCTGTATTTTCATCGGATGGTAGCAGCTTCTTATTGCTATCAAGTATTCAGGAATCAGGTCACTACCAGTTCACACATATAAAACATATAACCATATCACAGCGAAGAGCATCTGTTATTTCCCATGGTCGTTATGAAGTAAGTAATTTTTAGCATTCTGTGCACAATATTTCTACATATTTCCTATTCCAAATATGTACAAAGTTTTCGTTTTTAAATGGTATTGGCGATATCAAGCTTTAAACTTTACAGAGCATTTAATAACTGGTCCATAATAACGTCCATATAAGTTTTATTCTTCTTAAACTTAAACGACGAAAAATTTAGTTTATATTATAATAAGGTAATGCAGTCGGCATAAAAGCCGTCCTTGGATCCATCGAACTTAATGTACCAGCTTTGAATAATACTTGGTGCTTTATCTGGCTGTACTGACAAATGTTATCTATCGCACTGAGTGTTGAGACGAATTTCTTGATACACTGTTCCTGTGGAATAAACTTTTCCTGACTGGCCCTGATTCACAGTTATCCTCCTTTTTGGAGTATGAACAGACCTCTCACTCTATAAGCTTGCCACCTGCTATCTAAGTAATTCAGACAGGTTCTGCCTAAACTTGTTGATGGCAAAGTGTCATTTCTGTACGAGCTGCAAAACCTTTCTGTGGACTTGCATTTCTGCCCCCTATGCCTTTTTTTACATTACTGCATTACTGGTAAGTTATAACTTGCAGCATTCGCTTTGCTGTCCTTCAGTGTCTCAATATTCCGATAACAGGTTGTTGTTTGATTAAGATTATTGTTACACCGCACATTCTTATTGCCTATTCGAATCATTAATTCAAAATGTACAAAAAGTTACTCATCGCCCACCACGAGTGAAATATTGATGATTCAATCAAACTCTTGAACTCAAAATACCATCGCGATTCCTAGACAACTCGTTTTCTTTATATTAGTCCAAACATACTTAATAACTGTTCTTAACTTGGAATTCTGCATTTTATTATTTCTAGATTATTATTATTTCTAGATTTGTGCAGTTATCCCAACCAAGCTCTCAAAATGAGGTCGCTTTTCCTGATACAAATTTCTCAAGCCGATTAAAAAAATAGTAATGCGAAAAAGTAAAGCAATATCGTGAAGCTGAAGCTTCTCCTGCAAATCTAAAGAGCTCTTTTAGAACTTAAACCTGGAGTTCTAAAAATTCTTTTCGACTCTTCCCAAGGTTGACAACTTGAGTTATTGGGTGATGATGATTTCCAGATTGAAAAAGATTCAAAACAGTTTTACTTTTTCGGACAAATCGTATTCAAGAAGGATGGATCGGACCAAGAGCAAATTTCGAGTCAAATATGCGACACTTCAAGAATCTGAGGAGATGTGAGGCGAACATTCCAGACGTACAAAAGGACAAAACTTAACTAAAACTCGCAGAGGAAAAAAAATATGGTAAAGTCTTTAAAACCGTTCTTGATGTGCTGGTACAAGGAAAATATGGACTACAGAAATTAGTGGCAAAGGTTACCTTGTAAGCCTACTAGAGGTAAAAAATACGTGACCAAAAATCTACATCCCGAGGTTTGATAGAAATTTGGTGAATTTGGATATACTTCTATGATGGCTCATGAAATAAACATGCCGGGAATTACAAAATGTGGTACCTAAAAATGTAATTTCCCGGTAAGGCAGAAAAAATGATTCATCGTATCGAACTAAAGAAAAATGCGTTATGGATGCATCGGAAATACTAGTGGATTCATATGATAAGACAAGACTTTTTGCAAATTCCCCGTTCACTGCACCAAAGCAGTCTGCGACAGCGCTAAGTCACTACAAGAATTATACATCAGCACGAAAGAATTCCTCGCCTTATTAACGGGACTGAATGATGATGTATCAACGTAGGATCCGTTGCTGGTCGTCATGCTTAAAGAAAGCTGAATATGACCAATAGGGCTCTGTATCACTTAAAGGCGAGTCAGAAATACAAACTCTACTACGAAATAGAGTTCTGAACACTCTGAAAACATAACAGCCTTCAAAAAAACTAAAGACATCAACGTGTTCGGTTTCCACAAACAGACAAATGTCCTCACCTGCATTCTAAAAAAAAGGGTAATAATTTAAAAAATTAACTTTAATTTTAATGGGTAATAATTTAAAAAAAATTGTTCAACTTTTGAACCCAAATTCAGAGATATCTCTAAATAGTAGCACAACAAAGCTTTGAGTCGTATTTGACGCTCCCTGCAAGCAACAAACAACAAGTTATTAAATATATAGATATATATTAGATATACTGCAAGTCAGACAAAAGGTATGGAGCGAAATAATTTTATTACTAGCGGACATTGAGAAAATGTACTGTCAAGCTTGGTGAATAGTCAGAAATTAATAACAATTATTAATCTGTTTCCGTCAGGAAACAGCCCCGAAAATGAGGGACACGGTGTGGCTTAACATTATGTGCTTACATTCGTTTTACTTCATTGCTTACAATTTTATTTATTTCATGATTTAATTTAATGTTTATCTAACACCGCGAAATGACTTAACACTTGGGTAAGCCCAAAAGATGAGTCCAATTAAAAATTTTGAAAAAGAGGCCTTAAGAAGACATTAATCATCGGTAGTATTTTATGTCTTACCGTATGGTACAAAATCTGCACCATTTCTATCCATTAAATTCGTGGATCATCTAGCAACGAAGAACAAAGAATAAAAAATTTGAGAACTAGAGTGAAAAAACGATTGTTCTTATATGGATGTTCCAAAGGGATCAACTGTGCGGCAGGACCCAAAAAAGATACGCCACGAAAACTACCCATTGGGTAGTTTGCACAGAGTTGGCAGAAGTCTTTCTTCAAGTCTTTTTTCGCAGACTGTCGAAAAACGAAACCTTTTTTAGCAGCAACTTTCGGAAACAAAACTATAAAATTCAATTATTACAAACTTTGAATTTGGTTAAGACTCTCCTCACATCTACGATGGAAAGGTTTCAGAAACGCAGGAATTACATGTTGATGCATCGGAGCGAGTACATGGCGCATAAATCTAGCTACGTCCCGCATACAAAAACAACAACTTTTCAGTTTCATTACCCTGCCCGAAATCCCGAGTAGCCTCGAACGGACTGGAAACCTTACCCGACCGGAATTATTGGCCACAGTAGTAGGAAAAAGTTACCGACAGAACTCGAAGGGATGTTTCAGGATATTTATGGGAATACCGCATTGGTACTATCATAAATTAATCTCACTGCAAAGCCAAAATTCAGGCAGTCACAAGTCAGGCACAGTGGCGTCACGCCCAGTGGAACTACCGCCAGAAAAGTTAGAGATAATAATTTATGTTTTAATGGATCATTGTTTCAACATGGGCCAAAAATATGAGCATTAAAAATACTCAGCTATCTGAAAAGAAGAACAAATCATAACTTAATAATAATTTAAAAGAATCCGCGACCATCATCTGTAAAATACTGCAGACCATCAAGACTGAAATTTTCTAAAGACACAAAAAAATAAATTAAATCTAAACTTGACGTTAAGAAATTGAAGTACAGTTTGCAGCTGGCCATGGTTGATGGAAAAATTTGTAGTGCCCTAAGTAACACGTCAGTGCTACTTATTGGGGACGAAACCGACAGAGGACAACGATTTGGAAAAGTGCTTGAATAAGAAGGTTCATGAATCACGCTTTAACTTTGGATTATCTTCTGTTCACTCCCATATTCGTTTTTTTTTTGTTGAATATTTTTTTGCCCGTCTCCTACAGGCTCGACCGAAAGAGCCGGAGAGCTAATACTCCAGAAGGAAAATAAATACTTTTGACAAGGTAATTCAAAATGCAGAATGATTTTCGCATACGAATGGGACCTATCGTGAACAAACGCAGGAGTAGAGGAAGTTCCACCTCAAATGATGGCAATACGGCCAGAGAGTTTTTAATAAGCTAAAATTGGCTGCGGAACTAACGTGCATTTATAAGGACTTTATAATCCGGTGTTCAACATTCCTGCAGTGTTTGGCATCAGGTTATAAGATCAATATGGGAAAATTTGGAGAATATGCACTTGGCTCTTCCACAAAGTTGAAATTTTTTTATAATTTTGTTGAAAATTTCGTAACGAAAAAGGCCAGACAAGTCATAAATGGCTGGATTTCACTGTTTCTCCACAAATGCAGTACATCTGCAATTATATAGTTACTTAACCACAGACGTTTTTTTTAGCCGGGGAGCGGATATTCCCGAGCTGCCGCGGTAGGTGTTGAACTATTCATTGCGACAGTGCAACCAATTTTGTTAGTGCCCGCAACCAATTTAACACATTGGAATATTCTGTTTTGAATGGCAAAGGGACAAATTAGAAGTCATTGCATACCCGGCAAATTGAAATTAAATTTATACCACTATGAGCACCAATACTTGTCACGATCAGGGCAACAGCATCGCTGACACTTAAGAAGCTTACTACAGTCGCCGTAAAAATTGAGGCAAATTTCGATTCTACACATATCATACCCATGTCGAACGATCCCTTGGATACAACAGCGCTCATCCCAAAACATTTCTTCCGAACCGTTTACGGCGCCACCTGAGGTAAACACGGTTCTCAGGAAAAAATACATGTTAAGGGCTGGGATTTGGTCTCAAGGCAGCTGAATACTTACATGGGAAGAACTACTGGTCTAGCTTAAGAAAGATAACTACCTCATACCGGTTATGAAATGGGCGTCGAGACAAACCATAAAAACTTATTGTGTGTTCGGGTATCTGAAGATACAAACGCATTATTTACTCGACTAGCACCGTTATTTTCATAAGACTTGCAGTAGCACTGGCAAAGATCATTAACTTCACGCTGTTCTATGAGAACCTTGTGACTATTTTGAACCATATCAATACCGATATACGACTATTCCGGAATCCATCAGCTCGCCCAAATGTGTAGCTCAGCCCTCAAACATTTCCAACATAGTTACGCAGAGCTACATTCACCACTCAACTTCAGGACCAAACAACAAAATAAAGACTAAACCTTGGAACAGCGCATCGCGTAAATAAAGACGGAAAATAGAATATATCAGGGCAACCCCCCTTTGCAAGCAAACATGGTGCTGGGAGCTCAATTGA